CATTCTTCATATTTACCAAAACTATCGTATAGTTATTTTTCCATAAATAAATATAAATGTCTAAATGAGGGATAATTACTCGTACTTGTAGGAGGAAGATTTTTCGACGAGATTTTAAAATAAATACTAAGAAAACATTTCAAGCTACTGTATCACGTACTAGAAAAATAATAGTGGTTACTTTATCCGTGCTTCCAAAAGAGGCTTGAATGGATAAAGGGAAAATGTGTTTTTTTAAATTTTTTTTATAAAACCGTAGATAACACTTACACATCCCCTATCGAATATAGAAATAACCCACAAATGTTTCGTTTAGTGTTATCAAAATCGATCTGATTCAATCAGTGGTGTGGCAGAACTAAACAAACAACTTGATCTTAGTATAAAAAAATGTATAACTTTGGTTTCACTTTATGTTTTAACACGTTGGGTGCTGATGACGGGAATTCCCGCAATTGCTTAACATTGAAATAAATGCAACTTTTATGTTTAAACATGTCGACAGCACGAATAGTGTTAAGGATACTAATCAATATGTACTTCCACTTACTCTACTACAAAACTTTGAAACTTGTCCACTGGGATTATCTTGAGGATATTCTAGGACTTGGATAGGTATATGTGTTTGCACAAGAACATGATCAACTTTTGAGTAAAACTTTAGATATTTTCGTTCAGTGCGTTTTTGCATTTACTCGAAGCAAACAGATACACATAAACTACCTTTACTACTTCATATTATGATTGAAAAAATCCCTACAAACTAACAATTTAATATAACATATTTTTTTCCGTTTACAATGTTGCATCATTGTGTATACATCCTATGACATTTTGAAAAATCACAACTCCCTCAATGATTAAAATGACGTTATCATTTGAAATAATTTATTTTGGATTATAAGTCTAAAAAAGTTGGAGGCATTGATTAATGTTTATCGATGTTTTAACTTTGACAAGGCCCAGCTGCTGGCAGTTTGGCGCCGCGAGAATTGTGGGAAATACACTTTGTTGGGAACATGACATGTTGCAATTTATGACCCTTCCCACTGTACATCCAACACTGATGGATCAATTTAATCTCAGAGAAATAAAAAATGTTATGTTACCAAATGTGATGGATTCCTTATTTTTGAGCATGATGGTATATGAGTGTGATGACAATAATTTAATAATACATCTTTAATATTGATTATGATAGGAGAGGGAGGCCTTTAAATTCTTCTTACACGTTAAAATCGAATTACCATCAAAGTAAAATAGAAATTCTTTTTAAACATTTCCAAACAAACGTAGGTCTACTACATAAAAAAAAACTATGCATACCGTACATTTAGCTTATTTCCGTTCTTGTCAATGTTACAAACATCAGAAATGTATTTCACAAATACTGTCAGTGTGATATAAGTATTGATGGATGACCCATAGACATGGGAGTTGTGACATTTTATCGATGGGTCTTCTCTAAATCTTTGCTTTCTAAAGCGTAAAAGTTTGGGACTGAAACAAATTTAATTTGTACCCCAGTAAATGAAATAACATTTGTAGCTCAAGACTTTTGTGTGCTTGACTATTCTGTTCTGAACTACTAAATTATAGTTTTGGCGAAAATCGTGAAATCATAATATGACTCTGGTGTAGCTTTAAAATATGTGAGTAAGTTCTATCAAATACCGTAAGGTTATTTGACAGTTTCCGAAAGCTATTTGTATTATAGACGTTTAAGGTTTTTAACCATACAACTAAGTAAGCAGTTAGCGTGTCAACAAGAAGTAGTTTCAAAAACTAGTACATAAAGTAATATTTTTAATTCCTAGATTCTGTGTTTAAAGAAAAAATATATGGAACAGAAATATAATCCATAAATATCTTTCTTTGTGTTGACTGACATTTAAAGGGTGGGTATTTTCTATGAACTAAGTTGGACTTAGGAATTGATTCAAGTGTAACTAAACAGTCTTGGATTTGGAGTTCACAGTTGTATTCGGATCAAGCTGAAGGCTTTCCAGGAAATTTATTTATTCAGAAGAGCTTCCTACACAAATATTGCAGTGTCGTTGGGAATAAGAAATTAGAATTTCGAACGCGTTGTCGCTCTTCTTACAACTCAGTTCAATAACTAGCCTTAGCGACTTATTTATCCCAACGTATACGAAGGAAAAATTGATTATTGAGAAATTCCTTTGAAGGTTGAAGTCTCAAGTGATTTTTCTTAATATTTTTTTTTATACAGCAAATACCAATTAAATTAGGTTAAAAGATAAATTACACTCAATTAAAGATGATATATCGTGTAGTTTTTATGTTTTCATAGTATTAGTAATTGTTTATATAAATAAAAGGTGTTGTTAGTATATTTTTTCCATTAAAATTAGGCACTGTAGAAATATATCTCTTATCCCGGGTGATAGTTAATATTGCAGTGGTTTATTATTTAAAGTATAATATTCACTTATAGGTATTTTTATGTAAATCCCTCCCTACTATGGTTTCAGTGTTTTAAGACTACGGTAATTGATTTTAATGTGTTGGTTAACAAACCGAATAAACCAAATACCAACAAGATTACAGTGATTGGTCATCGAACCACTACAAATGACTTACAAAACAGTTCAGCATGCATGGGAAGATAAAATTCAACACCGAAACTTAAAACTCATGATTTACGAACAAAAGAAAAAATGCGAGTTTAGTTTTTAAAGATCATAAAAATTCGATGTTTCCAAAACAATATAGAAACTCAATTTAAATAATGGAAGTAGTCTGGGATAACGAAGTTGTATGTTGGCAAAAAGCAATTCCCTTCTTTGAAGGTGTTTTGACCAAATCTTATGCAATGTAAAAAAAACATATTTGAGTGGAGAGTTTTCGAATATTAGCTCTATCAATTTGGCAAGAGGGAATTCCTTTGTTAGGACATGTTTTGACCAAATAATTAAAATTGTTATTTATACTAAATAGTTGACGGACAGTTTAGGCTTGAGACGTTTATGGGTCTGTTTCGGCTTATGTTCTGTGTATCGGGGAGGGGGAGGGGGGGGGTCCTGGATGAGTGCCAAGATGTCTACATGGCGCCTCCGACAACTAGGCCGACCAAGTCGATATACGTGAAGGAATTCAACTAAATGTCATCAAACTGTATGTGACTAAAACAATGAAGGAAGCCTTGAGCAGAAAAAACAATTTCACCCATTATTTGGGAAAATATTTTACACTCCAAGGTCGATTTGATTAATTCTATCTACATTGTTCTTCATGTAGGGTTCCAAATTCAAACAATAATGTTAGATCTTTCTACCTTTGAATTAGTACATTTCTACGCATTGAAATTTAGGAAACTTAAAGTGTAGATGCTCTGTACTACAGCAGTTGTCAATAAACAAAAGATAGAAACAAAAGAAATGTATATTCAATTGGATTACGTTTTACTAGGTTAGTGAAAAAAATAAATGTGAAACTTAACATATGCATTTTATTTAAGCTCTCAGTGTGCAATAAGACCGATAAAAAAACCAAAATACTAAGGTAATTAGTACATGTATTGAGGTAATGTGCAAAATCGAAGAAAGTATTTAACTTTACAACAGGTAAACATCAATTACAACCCAACCAGAGCACATTTTTGTCACAGGATATTCATTTAGCCTCGAGATTGATAGTGAAACATCACCATGTCAACATGTGTGTGGTGCTGATAGCTTTTATATTGGGTTCAGCCTCAACAGCTGATGACATGTTAATTGAGTCGTGTGGTTTGCTGATACCATGTCACAACATCGTCCTCAGCACGCGTCGAATATAGGGATTGAGAGTGAAACTGAAACCGTTGTTCAGTCCACGTGCTTTGTGGCATAAAATGGGTTAGCGGTTATTTGCTATGACATTGATCTGTAAATCTTTAAGAGCTAAATACGACATTGGATTCTGGACTGGGTACATTGTAAATAGTCAACAGTGTAGCGTGTAGCGAGTGTTAGATGGTTTGATTTTTTGTGGTGGCTGACATATCAAATTGGTGGTTGACATATAAAATTTTGTGGTGGCTGGTGGATAACAAATGCGACATTCAACCACCGAAAGTAGTAGTTTGTCACCACCAAGGGAGCACGTATAGCTTTTGTATTTTATGTCATGGATGTGAGCATCATTGTAACCTATAACTACTGAATTTATATTTTAATAATCTAGATTTAATATGAACCCGTGCAGAACTTCACGTTTTTCTAAAACAGTAAAAACAAAACATTCTGTTTACAGGACACTGAAAAGTTCTCAAATGCTATATACTTGGATGCGTATTCAAAGGGAACCAAAGAAATTAACCTTTAAACTTGACTTGTTAACTAAGGTTTATCAGTTTGCTGTATGTTTATTTTAACACACGTTACATGAATAAATGTTTCTCAAAGAAGAAACAGTAAGGACTTCAGGACTTTTTTTATGATGCGTTTTTAGGGTACTACATAAACATGTGCGTAGTACTAAAATCAGTTAAATATATTTTCCTACGATTGTTATACTTGACAAAATACATCACTACAAACATTTTTGCTAACGATTAAGTATAAATCAAATCAAAACTGCGTTTTTACAATATTTTTTTGAGATATGATATTTAACTAGAATAAAGAAGATTCAGTAAAAGAAATGAAGGGTCAGGTGCATTAGAAGGTTTTGTTAATGCCTAACGCTAGCTGATTATCAAGCTTCATTATATGGCCTAATGACCATGGAACAGTTATCCCCGCTCTGTAACATACTTTTAATGATCTTTACTTTTAATTTAAAATTCGCCAAATATATTAGAACACATACATGGACAGCTTTAGTAAATAAAGTGTAAAGTTCTGAAACCTCAATGTGCAGTTTCAACATCATTATGTAACACACAATTTTACTGATATTCCTAAAGAGCTAAACAAATGATAACCAACAAAAAACAAGTTAAAATAGGATGGAAGCAAAAAAGAAAAAAATCTTATTTGAGTTAAAAGACTTACCACCAGGCGTCAGGTTCCGAACTTGAGGCGTCGTCCCCCCCGTCGCACCCGACGACCTTCGGGACCTGGGGAAGCACAACACTGTCATCGAGGGTACAAACTTTAGAAAATCACAAACTATACGAATTTTGCATGGAATAAAATCAAACTTTGACCCCAGAGCCAACGATTGCCCTTTTATGGGTCTTTCTGATGGATTGACCAGTCTTCTTGCTACGAGAGAAGCCGGACCTCGATGGCTCAGAATCTTAACTTGGCTATGAATCAAATTCACAGTAACTAAACTGTTATTGCCCTTTGATGACCCCTTCTTTTGGGTTGCCCAGTATAAATGAAAGCATAATTTATTAGCTCAATAATTCAATGACAAGTGAAATATTCAAATGTGTATAAAAATAATTTTCATTGCTTAACGTTACAAAACATTTCATGTCTTGAAAATCAATCAACAGCAACGTATCTTTCCAGCTGTCAGGAATGGTGCAGAACTAAGATAATTAATTCCAACTGTAACAGACACAACTAATGGTGGAACAGCACAGAACTGTTGAGTTGAGGTCTTGCTTGAAGTTGAATACAAAGATAATGTCGGTTTGAACAGAATAACTGAATAATTGAAACGTAAATTGCAAGCTAGTAAATATGTATCTTCACAGAATATCAACATTTACATCTAAAAAAATAATAACGGAAAGATTTGCTTCGTACTGAGAGGCCTTAATTCAAATTTCGGCCTATGATCATTTTTCTAACCTTCCAATTTTCTAAAGATATCCATCGAACAACAAAAATAGTTGAGAACAGGAAACAACACAGAATTGGATTCTGTAAAACCTTCATAAAATAATAATCAAATATATGACCATAGCAAATTACGTACAACGTGAAAATATTCTTCAGTTTATTTAAAATCGTCTGCAAACAGGTTTTTGATGAAACGGTAGATTGAAGTATGTAATTCAGCCAAGTTGATTGAATGTTGTTGACCCGAAGTAAAGACCTTAGAATGAGCTTTGCTTTGATGCAAGGTGCTTACAGGCTTTAACACATCAAAGGGGCTAAGGGGGAGTTCAAACTAAAACATTACCAATTGAAAGGAAACATTTAGTTACATTTGTGTACTTTACTATTTAGCTGGAGTACGATCCTTGAAAAACATAAACTAAGCGTTTTGAAATGTTATATTTTAATGTGATATGAAATCTACACTTTACCAAACACCATTGGCTTCAAATTGTGCAAGTAGACTTCTCATCCTATTGTAACAGTGTTTTACGTGTTTGCTGTTGGTGTCGTTTTAGCGCGCTGATGTCGTCTGAAGTCATAATGAAACAGCTGATCTTAGTCAGTAACAAAGCTACACAGATCGTCTCACACCATTACACTCATCCTTAATTCATATTAGGGTTAAAATACGCACCTAGGTGACGTCCCTGTCTCAATTATTGATAATCGATAATGTCTTAGGGTTTTCCCCGTAAGTCTGTGCGTTAAATTTCATTTTCCTTATAATACTACGTTTATACAGGGTGATTTGTACTCAGTGTGACAAAATTTTTTTGGCGTAAGTACAAAGTAAATGAAGTGTGATGATGCATATCAAATGTTCCAAGTCTCAAAATTAGCGTCCCAAAAAATTATTTTATGTTTTTCAAAAATAACCATGTTTTTAAACTTAATACAGCGATTTCTCAATTACCTGTATATGGATTTGAGTAGATAATGTCATTTTCGTGTTCTAAATTAAATTTTGAACAAGAATAATAGAAAATGACGGAGGATCAGTCGTATAAACTCCATTGTAAATAGATTCAAAGATAAAAATTAAGATGTTTAAGATAAAATTAAGATTGAGAATTGAATTCAAATGAACTAGTAAGCAACCCTAACTAAAATCTGTGTATAACCTAATGTGTTCTGGTAACAACAAAAATCTTGTTTGTTTGTTGTATGGTAGCAGAATCACAAAAACTGATTAAAAGTCGTGAGAGACTCGTATAATGCTGTCTAGATATTGAATGACTAATTGATGAGTGACGATTTCCCATCCCGTACCCTTAACAAGCTTCAACTTTATCAATTAGGCAAGCTTAAAGTTTTGCTGAAATCTGACTGTGCTACAAAAGACGGAAATTCAAATTGAAAATGGTTTATTAAAGACTTTAAGAAAATTCGGGATATAATAATGTATGCAAATATAAATGAAAGCGTCTAATGCATTTTCATCATGCAAATATTATTGGATCAATTTTACAGAAATTTTACGGAACGAGAACGTAATTCGGTGAGAAAATCATAGAGGTTTGGTCGTTTTTGTGTTGTTACTAATTAAGTGATACCCGCTAATCCTTGTACAATCCAAGGTGGACGATGACGAATAAGTATTGATTGGTACATATTGCAACAAGGAAACCTCAATATTAGCATAGACAAAAATAATTAAATATAGACCGACAGCTGTGCTGCGGTTAGCATAGGTTCTGGCGTCCACCGTTGGGAGCACCGTGTAGTTACGGCAGCGCTACGTAACTACATGGCACTCCCAGTGGTGGACGACAGAACCTATGTTAATCGTAGCACGGCTTTCGGTCTATATTTAATTCTTGTTGTCTATGATATTAGCAATGAGCTTTTGGATAGATCAAGCGTGCTTAAATCAGTTGTGTACTACAATAGTTTGTTCCGACGTTCTCAGATAGATGAAACAAAGTGTCTTTGCTTTATTCTCAATCTATATCTACTCTGTTTACACTTTTACAAGGGAATGGAATTCAATAGCCTCGATAAAACTAATAAAAATTTACGGACTAAACTAAGTAATAAATGCAATTATGTATTCCTTCTGCAATAATTAGACGAAAACTCTTAACAATGGAGGTGTAATCGCCCACTTTAACTTGCCATGTGCAGGTGAACTTAGATTAATGACGTCATGAATTGGAGCGATCAGCTGATCGATCTGCTTGTCACCTGACGTGTTTAACAGCTGATCGATGCCATACCAGCTGGTAATGACGACAGTAGATCAGTTGATGGTTGGAATATTCGCTACCACGTTTGAACCAATGGAGGATGAATTTACAATTTTGCTGTTAGGTAGAAATAAAAAAGCTTGAACTATGTCAGGGGTAGATAAAAAAGTTGAAGTTTAACAAACTGTCCCAAGTCATTTTTGACGAGCACAGATTTAGTAAGAAAAAGAAACACCATGCGCACAAGAATTCCAAATTCATGATAGGCTATGCGAAACCATTTTTTAAATTTATAAATGAAGCAGAAACATTCATGAATTACACATTGCAGTGCAATGAAACTATGTGTTTTGTAGAGTTGAACACCTCGACTGAGAGATGTTTTCCCAACAACCTGGCCAAGCCTAACAATCCATCATTATTGATCAGACTGCGATTCCGATATTGCACTCGTACTCGTCCTGCTGTTTTCAATATTACTGTTAAAAGCTATTGTGTAGTTCGCCATTGGATTCAATTTAAAACTGTGTAAAGTTTTACATTTTTGATATAATAAAAAAACATGCATTTTTTATAAATTTGTAAAAAGTACTCGCTTGCTTTTCTATTAAACAACCATACAATAGTATTATTATTTAAATATTAAAGTTTCAAGTTATTCATACTTTTGTGTAACGAAACCAAATCAGATCCTTTGTTAGATACTTTTACACAAACTTCAACAAATCTACAATGGTGAATTCATGATAATGCAGGGATTTATTGACAGTTATTTGCTTTTATCAAAAAATGCAAAGAAGACTAATGAAAGGCTCAAAGCAAAGAAGGCGGAGGCCTAAGTAAGCTAGTTACTGCTTTGTGACGGAAAACTCGATCGCGACAGTCTCAAACAAGCTTTTACACAAACCAAAGTTTTATCGATACAAAATCTGCCTCCAGAGGCCTAATGATATGCTTTTTGTATCTATCTGGATACATAAAAATGGGTTGGATGAGTTAAAAAAAATGTTACCTACATTACACGGTTCGTAACTTTTTAAGTGTAAAAACGTAGGATTCTTCGTAAGTTACCAACATTTTTATATATTTTTTTGTATAGTTATTATAATTTTCCTCTAAATATCAAACGAAAATTTGTAAATGTACACGATATTATTATGTCGAAACAAAATATGCAAACCAATGGTGAAGACCTTTTTATACTTCAACTTCAAACATATTTTAACAGATCATGATGAAGGTCACACGTAAATAATAATCCGCGGACGTTCACAGAATGTGGTCATTAAGGAAATATTGTCGCCATGGAAAATAAATGAAACTGACAATTAATGTTAAAACTTAGACTTAGGATACTATATACAATTTCAAATTGTTACATTTTGTCCTACCACACACCATAACAAAGTAAACCAAAGAATAAAATAATGAAGTTGTAATTAGGAATTTTTTCGAAATTGTGTTTTCAAAAGAATTTGATTCTACTAATAATATTTAACTATTTTGTAAAGTATTTTTGAAACTGCAAATGCACATTGTAATTCATTTTGAAGGATAGTAAAACAACTGGCGTTACAATAAAGACATCTCACGTATTTCAGACACGACTTTGTCTTCTCCTTACTGTATCTCATAAGCATATCTCAGGCTAATGTTGACGTCTTGTACAGGTGTGGGAGGTAACAAGCAGAGGTCAGGGTGACGTCACGAGGTAAGTAGACACCGGTATAACGCCCTCATATACATTCATCTTGCTGAACAACACGTAGTTGGGAGGTAACATGAGACGCCAACGATGTTAACTCGGGGGAATAAGCGGGGTGTGAGAGATGGGATCTCTAAACTCAGTGTCAAGTTCACGTTTCTCACTGGTTACCCGAAAAGTCCGTTTATATTAAAGTAAACCATGCATATTGGTCGTAGTAAATCAGATGTTTGTGTTTTCATTGTTGACATATCACTGCCACTAAATAATTTACTATATCGTTATTCCTATATCACTATAGGAGCTCCATTGGCCAATTAATGGCATATGTTGGTTTCAGCCAGTCGCTGAAAGCTGATGTCTGTGGTCTAGTCCGTTCACTTTACGA